TTGATTACATAATTATCGTTAGGTTATGTTCGTGCCCAGTGACCGGAGTGTCCTCTGGCAGAGCAGCCTGTACTTCTACAGGAAACGGATGCACGCTCGACGAAACCACCAGCACGCAAGAGAGTAATGTGCTCCTATGCCGTAGGGATGGCTCAAAGGCAGGAACGTTGTAGCGGTGTTTTACTGGATGGTCGATGACCGTCCTCCTAGTTTTCTTGTTTCTTTTCATCGACTTTACCCACTTCATCCACTTGGTCCACTTCGTCCGCTTCATACACTTCATCCACTTCGCGTTCACATTATAGAGACTCTCTCTCTCCATTCCTCGCCGATTAAAGTATCATCCGTTTAATTGATCGACCGAGCGAAATACGATTTGATTAATCTCTGCGGGCGAATAACGGATTTTATCAAGTCGATCCGGTTTGTTTCTACGTATCGACTGACGGAAGCTGCGTGATTTACAATCGAAAATCAATGATCGAATTCGCTCGATAATAATTTAATAGCGTTCCTTTTTTTTTAATGTCATCGTATTTTCTCAGGCGTTACGGATAATTAAAAAATATAATGTTACAATTAATTATGATGGGAACGCATGATCAATTCTGTATTATATAACTGGTTGCGATAACATAAGACGACCAGATCCTAAACCGTTCAGTCGTAATAAACGTCCAAGCGGATTCCTATAGTCGCTTGTTGATGATCATCATTCGCGCTGATTTACAGCGATATTTGTCCCCTGTGGTAGCGAACAGTGTAGGCGTAACTGATAGCGCGCCATCGGTAGAACAAAGTGTCGACGGGAATCTTAGGACGGTGCAACAGCAAAGCGCGAGAAGACATTCATAAAGCCGGCAGGAATACTTAGAATCAGTGAAATTAGCATTTTTACCTATGATATTACCAAGCGAATTGATTAAACGAGGAACCTTGATTGCGTCAAATTGCCGGAACGTCGATCGCATCTTGGTTACATAAGGAGTCGTAGCACGCGATGTCCAAGTAAATATATTGTCCGCTTACGCATTAGCGTGTAACCTCGCAACGTGGACAAAAGATATTCAGTCAAATCAGAGTTATTGAACCGTGTAGAGCAACCTCGTGCTCTAATTTCATTGAAAACTAATTAAACCAAATGATGCCTATTGTGTCTACTGTAAATTTTATACGTGATATAACGAATTGTATCGAACGAAATGTTAAAAAAAAATATTTTCAAAAATATTCAATCATCAATATTTCTCACTAAACAAATATCATCGCTATTTACTACAAAGTTATCGTGGGTACACGGCTGGAATTGCAATGGCGTTTTATATGCATTGTGCATCCATTTATTTCCGAAGTAAAACCTTCAGCAGCCAATGCAAAGGTACATATACACGGACTGTATTGAGCCGTCGTGTGCAATTGTCGTGACATCGAGATCTTACCGAAGGCCAAGGTTCTCAACCCGCGTCCTATTCCCTATCCCATAAACTCTAAGATGATATTCATAGATAGAAAATAACCCCATGGGTTATCGTTGAGCCAACGGCATAGCTCGTGGTTGGTAATAGCCATGAGAAAATGGTATAGCGTACCAAGAAAGCGTCCGTTATTCTTTCGTCGCTATAAAATCAACAAATTATAGAAATGTCTGGCTACCTCATTTAACTTAACGTTACCACGCGGACCGGTTCTATCTCCTTCGATTATACTGGGACCGTCATAACACGGGGTCTGGGTAGGAATTCAGTACCCACTGCTCGTGACGTATCATACGATTATCACTTTGGAAGGAGCGACGGAGCTTTATAATCCTTTCACGAAAATTTCTCTATCTGACTATATTTTTTATTCGTCTTCCGATCTTAATTAAACCACGGCTAATTAACTAGCACCTAATTTTTTTTTCTCGTGCTTTTAAAATGCACCACCCGGCTATCCTTTTGGGGAATCTGGAATTCTTGGGAGAATTTATGACAATCCTTTATGACTTGGTGTTTTGAGAAAAAAATTAAAAAAAAAAATTGTTTTTTGGAGCAAATTAAATTAGAGTTTCACACGTGATCAAATATATGTATATGTTCATAAAAATTATTTTGGTTGTTTTGAGTATTAAAAATATTCTTGTGACGTAGGTATAGTGTATAGTGATAGTTTAAAGCGATTGGTATTATTATGAGTATGTGGATTATATCTCTATGTCATATAGAATATATGATATAGTAATACTTTAGTTAAACAGACAGAAGGGCTTAGTCTAGTACCTATATGGTTGGCAGGACGAGTGTGGTACTCAGTACTGAGGTACAAGAACAGGAGCAACACTGACCTTCCTCATACACGTGTTCGCATAAAATATTACGAGCCTTTATGCGGTCACGTTGCAGCGATAACCTCGAAGTCTCTCCTTTCTACTCTCTCACTCTCTCGTCCACTCTCATCCTGTGTCTCTCCTGTTGGCTGGTATCCTTTTGCTATTTTTTCTTTAAAGATATTCCCGGGACGTCCTGCTGCAACCTGAGAATCAGAGATTCTTCAGGGCATAAACGGTAGCGCTGAACGGTTCAAGGTTATCGGAACAGGCGTTTTTTTTTTTTTTTTTTTTTTTTTAAGGAAAAAAAAAAAAAA